AGAACAAGAAGCAATGGGTGGAAACTAATCAAGGAGAGAAGCAACTTAGAACTGAGGAGAAATTTCCTGACAGTTAGAACAAATAATCAGTGGAACTCCTTGCCTCCAGAGGTTGTGAATGCCCCAACACTGGAAGTCTTTAAGAAGATGTTGGATAGCCATTTGTCTGAAATGGTATAAGGTTTCCTGCCTGGGCAGGGGGTTGGACTGGAAGACCTCCAAGGTCCCTTCCAACTCTGCTATTGTATTGTATTGTATTTAATATGTGGCAATAGCACTTACACTTATTGCCTGCAACAATCTGTTTCCTCATTTTACCAACCTCAGAAGGTTGGAAAGCTGAGTGAACCTTGAACCGGTTAGGATCGAAGTGCCAAACTGCTGGCAGTAAACAGATGTAGCCTGCAGTATTGCATTCTAACCACGACGCCACCCACAGTGCATATAGTCAGAAAACATACTATATTATAAAACCTATTATCCAAAATATGGATTCAGAGGTTTGAGAATTGCTGAGAAGACCTGAAATGTTATCAGTAGATATTAGTGACTTTTGTTTACTCTCAGACCTGTGTAACTTGACTGTCAATAAATTGTCTAGGACGATGAGTACAATGAGTTGTTAGCTTCCCCCCCCATCTGCCCCACACAGTCTGGTCCCTCTTTCCCATAGTTCATGGCAGACTGACAGCTAACAAATGCGAAACTCAAGTGTATGATGGCAGCTCTGATAGGGTTTGAAACTTGGCAACTTTAACTCAAAAGTGTTTTTTTCCAAAGGACTGGTTTTTTTTCCCTAGAAGAAGAAAAAGCAAAACATTTTGTCTCTGATCCATGAAACTATATCAGTTGTGATGGTGGGGGGAAAGGAATGGATGATAGATACTGACAGTTGTGTGAAGGGCGGGGAAGGAAAGGTGTCAGATTCAGGTTAACGTCAGCGTTCCAAATAACATCCAAAAGTAAATCAGAGTCCAAGACAAAGCATTGCTCAAAGTTCCAATTTACTGTTGGCACATCTGGGAAAACCCAAATCTGGAGGCTTCCCGGTTTTCCACCTAGTTGAAAGTTCAAGATCTTGCCCCCCATACCCACAAGTCCATCACATGGTCCAATTATCCACTGCCATGTTGGCAGCTTCCACCCATCCAGTTCCAGTCAGATGTAGAGGTGCAAAGACAAAGGATGACCTTGGGTTTCTAGAAAGAATTTTGTTATGGCTACATACCATCTAACTCCGTACAATCCTCCCTCCCATTTTCCCACGATAGAAAATGCATGGTGGAATAATAGAAAGTGTGGCAGGCCAAAGATCCAAAGGAAAAGATGGCAGTCATCTGGTCCATTAGCCCTTTCTGCAAAAGCTCCTCAGGTCCCTTGGGGGTATATTTCAAAATATCTTCTTTATTTATTTATATATGCAAACTGCATATCTAGTATTCTTGTTCTCACAGTTGTGAGTAGTTAACAATATGTTAAAATGCAAAAAAAAGAATAATTAATAAAAACAACAAAAATTAAAGAGAACTATAACTTTAATGGCAATAGACCAATTGTGGCACCAAAGCTATTACAAATTTACATTTGTTACTCAAACTTCACAAGTCAGACTTATTTAATATTTCCACCTCAATGCCACAGGACTTTAAGATCTTTTTAAGGGAAAATGGCATCGGGAGCATCTGAATCCTGGACATAAAGCTATTACAAGCCCCCCCCCCCCCAACAGTGGAGGCATGTATATAGTTGAACTAGCAGACATAACTTGTGCTGTGTGTCCAAAAATCTTGAATTGCACCCAGATGCTTATAGGTAGCCAGAACAACTCATGGAGGAATGTTATAACATGGGCATGTTATGATGCACTCTCAAACTATCTGTGCCACTGCATTCTGGAACAGCTGCCACTTAGAAATGTTCAGGTGCACACAGGATGTGTGAGCCCACACAGGATGTATTGCAAAATCCAAATGGGGTGTGACAAAGGGAAGCATGAATGGCCATCACCAAGGCTTTCCCATCTAGGAATGTGTGCGATTGGCCACAGGTACCACCTGTTCTCCAGGTAGGAACTGTGAGTTGACAACTTTCAAGTTGTCTACCATCTCATCAGGAGGAAAGTTATCTGATTAAGAATGAAAAATGGGGGGGGGAAATCACCAGTCAATTTCTTTCTTTTTTTAATAGGGAGCCATTCTCACCCCAGACCTGCGTTCTGTTCTCTTTGATCCCGAACATTGGGAGACCCCCGAGGAGTTCAACCCCAATCATTTTTTGGACAAGGAAGGAAATTTTGTGCCCAATGATGCATTTCTTCCTTTTGGAGCAGGTAATATTTAGTTAGAGCGGGGACTGGGTTTAAAAAGGAAAGGAAAAAATTGCATTTTCCCCTTGTTAATAAATAGAAGGAACAAATTATTACTGATTTCCACCTTTCCTGTATTTTCTATTCAGGAGCTCATGTTTGTAGCAAAGATTGGGTAACTAACGGTTTCCTACTTTTATTTTCTCTACAGGAGCTCGGGTCTGCCTGGGGGAACTCCTTGCAAAGATTGAGACTTTCATTATGTTCACCAGTCTGCTGAGGGAATTTAGGTTCCAGCCACCAGAAGGCGAGAAAAAACTCAGTCAAAAAACCATCATAGGATTGACTGTGCATTGCCTGCCTTACAAGATTTGTGCTCTTCCACGTATCAATTCATCACAATAGGAGCAGCCAGAAAGGGGCTCTTGCAAATTCCTTTGCACATGGTTCTCTTCCAAGGTTGGCTTTCTAGAGGTTGACAGCTACCTCCCAGCACACCTTGTGTGTTTTCATTTTTGTAACCACACTTGGCAATAAAAACATAGGTTTTACACATTCACTACCTGTAGTGGCAACAGAACAATGAGAAGGGGCTAATGAGGAAATTAAACTGTGTCAATGCTCTCTTAGATCAGGGGTGTCAAACTTCCAGTGTCATGTTATCATGTGACGTATCGTGACTTTTTCCTTCACTAAACTGGGGGTGGGGGTGGCCAGCACATGATGCATCCGGCCCGTGTGCCACAAGTTTGACATCCCTGTCTTAGATCAAGGGCTGAAAGGATATTGGGAAAACAAATAGGAATTGTAAACTAGTTTATATGCTGCCACAATTTCCCATAAGGCAATCTCAGCTGACTAATAGATTATGAAGTTGAGGGAATGAGAATCGTTCTTAAGTTGTTATCCTCAGTTTCAAGAAGTTCTACCGCGTTCTGAATGGGTTTTATTTAAAATTATAAATACACACCTTATACAGTCAGGCATATCCTACATAAGAGGGTAAGAACCATGGTGGCACAGTGGTTAGAGTGAAGTACTGCAGGCTACATCTGCTGATCACTGGCTGCCAACAGATCAAATCTCACCAGGCTTAAGGTTGACTCAGCCTTCAATCCTTCTGAGGTCAGTAAAATGAGGACCCAGATTGTTGGGGGCAACATGCTGATTCGGTAAACCACTTAAGAGAGGGCTATAAAAGCACTGTGAAGCGGTATATAAGTCTAAGTGCTATTGCTATATGATATTCCCTTTGAAACTGAGCCATATTCCAAAATATGCACAAAAATGTGGGTAGCAGTAAGGCACGGAAAATAGAGACAGTGGGTAAAAGGAAAGAAAACCAAACTCAATCTGGCTTACACCAATATCATTCACTGTGCTTTTCCCTGTTCTTACCATTCATTTTGGCTTGCACTACCACGTTCATCCTCCCTTGTTTTTTCAACTTCTGACTGTCACTTTGAGGGTCTCATTAACTCAATGGAAGCACAACTTCCTTTATTTTCTCCTTCCTCTCAACTCCTTCAATCTCCATTCGCATATAGATAAGGTCTGTAGTCATAAATATTCCTTTGAAAGACTTTGCCTTGCTGAATGTAAATGAGAAGAATTCAACTTTTTTTTAATAAAAGGGGTTTTGTCTGGACCAGGACTCTGCCTTGTGCTTTTTGGGGAAGTCTAGGGCAGATCATTGCCTTGATGCATTCCTAATGCTACTCTCTGGATAGAATCTGGAACAGTCTTCATGGAGTTTAATCCTGATCTCATTTCTGATGTTCTATGTCTCCTCTGATGTTGGTTGATAACATTGCTCTAATGAAGGGAAATGTTGGATCCTCTTCTGTCAGACATTGAAATCTTGGGACGGAGTTCTTCAAAGAGACAGAAATGTCACCTCCTGTTATGGACTTAAAGCCAAGCTCCAAAAAGCAATACAAAGCTTCTCAATCCAAGAGTTCTGCAAAGTACATCAATAGCAGCAATGTACATCAATGTTCCTGAAGCAGATTCTTAGCATAGGACATTGGTTACAAAAATTACTGCCCCATTCAGACACACTGAAGATGGCAGATGAGAATACCATGGGAATTCTTGAGGACAAAAGCAGAATATATCTGTATGGACTGTGGCCGGGGGGGGGGGGATAAATGCAGGAAGGGGTATTAAAGTAGCAATGTTTGCTACCTTAAGTTATTTATTAAAAAATACCACAATTACCTTATGGTAAGATGGGCAGCCAACAAATTTCATAAATGAAATACAATAAAAATAATAAAGGTAGAATATAAACAAACAAATAAATAAATTAGGCCTTGGTGAAGAGCTTGAAAAGATTCTGCTGGAGCTGGGAAACTGAGTATTGTATGACAAACATGGAAACAAAATAATGTTAAAATTGGAAGAACATAACCTGAGGTTTAGCTGGCATCAATTTTTATAGTACAACTAGCTAATAACAGGGTGTTGTCCGGGTATTTATTTATAGGGGGAAAATGTCTGGACCAAATGTAATTTCTAATGTTGGATTTTCCCCCTTACAAGAAGGAGCCCCCTTGTGGAGTACTGTGAAGCCATTAGCATGGCAAATCCACTGAGTTGTACTGTACAGTAGAAGACATTTTATGGCAGTACACTAGAAGGCATTTTAATGCACAATGTACAAAATTTCATAAGAACACTTGAATTGGGCCATTGTCTTTTCTCTGCTTAATTCACTCACTATAAAATCTTTGTGTTCCATATATGTATTGTCTGCAACTAAAAAACAACATTCTTCACTAAAATTCAGCCCAAAATGCTGTATATATGTAAAAATAAAGTTAAGAGTGGCTTCTAAATTGAATTGAAAAATGAATGAATACATCAATCAATCAATCATTATAAAATCATGGGGGCTTGGCTCAGACAATTAAAAATAAAAGAAAGGAATAAGGAGGATGAAAAAATACATTAACATGAATACTATTTTTCCCCAAATTATATCCCAGTTTTGGGAATGGGTTTGAACATATTACTCACCTAGGACAAGACAACCATTTCTGAACATTAAAAATAACCCAAAAGGATAAGAAACTGTCCGTTCAACTCTAGAATATAAATAAATATTAATTTTCTCTGAAATGCCCCTTGTGTTTCAAAGTACCGAGTCATTGCCAAAACCGGATGGGCCTTGGATGCAGCTGACATATACAGAAACACACAGTCCTGGTCACCAACCACAAGTTTTATTTCAGACCGTTCATACATTTTACAGCCACTATTTTTTTCCTTTTTTTTTGCATGAGGTATCGTATTTTTTGGACTTTAAGATGCACCAGAGTATAAGATGCACCAAGATTTCAAAGAGGTAAAAAAGAAAAAAAAAGTTTTTGCCCTCCCTGGGACCTGGGAGCACTCTGCAGGTCTCCCAAATTTCACAAAAATAGGGCACACAGAGGGTTTTGGAGGCCTGCAGAGTGTTCCTGGGGGCTGGGGAGGGCAAAAACATGACATGCGGGGGGTTTGGGAGGCCAAAAACAGGCCCATTCTTTGCAAAAATAGTGCACGCAGACGGTTTGGGAGGCCTGCAAAGTGCTCCTGAGGGCTGGGGAGGGCAAAAACACCCCCATTTTGGGCAGTTTTCAGTGTATAAGATGCACCATTTCCACCCAAATGTCTCTTTAATTAAATTTCCTCATTTTCATATTTAGGTCTCCAGAAGTCATGGGGTAATTAAAGGTAATCCCATGGATATTTACATATAGGTATTTCCAAATTTGTAGTTTTTCCTTTTGTCAGTAGGTGGCACTCTCCACTTAAATTTCAGTTTACTGAATGATCGTCATTTTGATTATAAAACTGGTTATAAAAGCAGAATAGGTTTTGTAAGTAAATAATTCCAGCATTTTCAAATTCGAGTGAAAAAGCAGCATTTTTTTATTTTTTTTATTTAAATTTTTTAAATTAACAAACATGTAAAATACACACACACAAAACTTAGACGTATACCACATTTACACAATACAATATGAACAGGAGCCTCCTGTTCTTTCTAATAGCAATTTTCAATCGATACCGCTCCCCTTATATTATTCCCCTTTCTAGTGTATTTCATTTGGATTTCACCATTCCTAACCCTCTTATTTTACTCATAACTATTATTTTTGAGTTTGG